TATTGTGGTATATTTTCGCTACTATCTGGCTTATGTGTTGGCTGGGCGGCTTCCCGGGTATCGTCCTCCAGACGAGGATACACCGTGGGAGTTTTAATGGGTTGACACTTCGGATTGAAAAATCGGAGTGGCTTTCGAAACGGCAGGGTAGTGCTTTCCGGAGAAGTTAAAATAAAAAAGTCAAATCAACTTATAAAATGAGAGATCTCTTTTATAATCAGTTGTGAGTGGTTGTTGAATTGACGGTTCGTTGTTTATATCTGTTACATATTACCAATTAATTACTTTCTAACTAGGTATATACTAAGTTCAGCGTATTTTGTAGGTGAAAGAGAATGCTGCATGGGCTTTAGGTTATATAGGGAAGCATAGCGAGCAGCTGGCAGGGTTGGTTGTGGACGCCGGCACGCTACCTTTATTAGTATTAGCTTTTCAAGAACCAGAAATGAGTTTGAAACAGGTATGACGTATACCTACGTAACAATTTTTAATAACAGCGTATTTGACTGTTATTACTTACTTTGTACAAAATTTGTTGAAAGTTAATGACTTTGGTGAGAGCGCCCTCTTAATCAGCTTGCCATATCACTCTCTTAATTTTATACCTAATTAACAGCCCGTCTTTTTTCCATTGTGTTAACTGCATTCCTATTACAGTGAATTAATTATGTGTATTTAAAAAAAAAAGACAATTTTAGTAAATAAAATTTGGGATACAGCTTGAGGAGTTATTGTTTCGAACGTAAAAGACCTTTAAAAGTGCTTACGAACGTTTTAAATATACGTTTTAGGTACAGATGGCACGTATCGAGGGTTTCAAAAGCAGAGTTACAATGTTTTTCTTTGTACTTAGTCATCGATATTTTCTTTAGATGATAAAGAGATTACTCATGTCAGATTTCAGCGGGCGCATTGGTAGACATCGCTCAGCACAAACCGGAAGCCGTTGTGGATGCGGGTGCGATATGTCACTTAGTACGGGGGTTAGAAAATCAAGATCCTAAACTCAAGGTACAGCAGTATAAAGGCCTCATATCATTGGCCAGAAAGTACACGACGACAGACGAATTGCAGAACACAATAATTTCTCTGAAAACTATATAGGTATCGGGCTAGAAATGGACGGCTAGCCTTTAAATTGAATATCGCCATTGCACGCCTAATTTTCTAGTTGAATCATGATGACATTTGTACCATTCAACAACACGGATGCTTTAAAAGCCACCAAAACGTTAATTTAGTTTTGTTATCTGTTAAAATATAATAACTTTGAAATTTCTAACCTATCACGTGACCTACAGGACCAAAATAACTTCATTGTTTATCATGTTTCGAAATCACAATAAACGCTTTATATTCTACCTAATCATTAATAAAAAGTGGCGTGAAAGTAAGAAGACAAGTAGATAAAACAGAAAGCGATTGATGGGCGGAATATTTTGAGCAGGAACAGGATTTTTATCATTGATCAGAATTGAAATGATTCCCATGCTGATCAACCGAAATCCGAATGAAAAGGCTCTTAAAAAAGTTTCTATTAACAAGGTTTCTAAAGCTCAGCTTTTAGCTCGCTCTCTCAATTTTCTAATACTCTGTATATTACTAGCTGTTGTCCTGCGATTTTGCATGCGTAAATTAAAGCCTATATCAACCACGTATGGTGTAGCTACCCGTAGATGAGAGAGTTTTTATAATCGGCCCATTAATTTCAGAGTCTATTCGGTGCAAACAAAGAAACAATCAAATCTTTACTCTTTCTTATATTATATTGTATATTATGTTCAGCGCAGCACATTGTGCGCGCTGGGCGCGGTGGCGGGAGCGCGCTGTGAGCTAGCAGAGGCGGTGGTGGCGGGCGGCGCGCTGCCCCCCGCGCTGCTGCATGCCGGCCACGACGCTGCGCCCGTCCGACGAGCCGCTGCCTTCCTCTTGAGGGACATCGTCAAGCATTCCGTTGATGTTAGCTTTATAGAAATCACAACATACTTAGGATATTATTATAAAGTGCTTGTATTAGTCAACGTACTGTTAGAGTTTTAGCTCCTCTACGCAATGGATTTTGATACGGTTTTCATTTTCGGATAGGAAATGTCCGGGTCGGATCGCTAGTTTAATAGGCTTGACGACTGGGTAAAAAAATATAAATTCTATTCTTCCCAACATGCGGCGCCTGTAGCATTTGCTACTTTTTCTATGTGGCTAATCCGGCCCTGAGTCAGATAATAGAAAAATATTAGATACGTATTTTTTTTTACTTCAAGTTAACAAGAAATAGCTTGTATAATAGACATTAAAGTTGAGGAGTGGGGGATCGATATGTCACAATTTTGTAGAAAATGTATAAAAGCGTGACGTCACGTGACATTTTAACTAAATATATCGCCGTAATTTCATGATTACGAAACATAAATACGTGGTTAATATTTTTCAAGAATCTACCTGACGGACACACAAAAAATTAGTCATCAACCCTATTTATAAAAATAATACAATTTATCACACATTATACCTATATCTTAATTCACGATTAGTATCACTAGTTAGTTTTTTGACCTATTTGTGTTTTATTAATGTCGCAACTGGTTAAAATAGCCATAACGATGAATTGACAGTTAATTAGTTGACTGACCTTTGTTCAGCCGTATTGTAGAACGCTGCGGTCAGCTACTCAGCTAATCGAAAGCCAGCCGTTACTTGAATGGCGCCATTCAATAACTTCCAACCCCAGCAAGCGTAGCATGACAACTCGAGAACGTTTTGTCTACACTCAAATGTTACTTTTCTCGGGTGCGACAACATGTCACTCTCGACCCGAGAAAGTGACATTATGGTGAAGACAAAGCGTTTCTCGAATTTGTCATGCTATACGTGCAGTTGTTGTAGCTTCGAGACTGTCTACTGTGCGGATGCGCATTGTCGTGCAGGAATAGTGGAGTCGAACGATTGACCAAAGCTGCAGTAATGCTCGTCCCGTTTGGTAAGAAGCTGTGATTAATTACACCCGCTTTAGACCACCAAACAGTGACCATCACTTTTCTAGGGGTAAGTTTTCGTTTAGGGCATTGTTTGGTTTCTGAACCAGCATCCAGCCAACTTGAGCGCTTACGATTGTCGAACAGGATCTATTTCTCGTCACGAGTAAGAATGCGGTTCATTATTCCTTCATTTGTATGCCTGTTGAGCAGTGCAAGGCACGTCTCGACGCATACTTCACGCTGGCGATCATCGGCACCCATTTGCTAAGCTTTTTTACCTTGCCAATTTGCAAATGGACCAATATTGTTTGATGCTAACGTCGAAGGCTGCTGCTAAGTCAGTCGTAGATTGAGTTTCATCAGCTTCCATAATCGCCTTTAATTCGTCATTGTCGACCAAAATTTCGGACGACCACGGGATTCATTTACCAGATCAAAATTTCCAGAACGGAAGCGGGCAAACCAATAACGGGTGGTGCGTTCGTTTGTAGTTGTAGTGTTCACTCCGTAAACGTCATGATGTTGCGTGCCGCTTTGCTACCACGACGCTCTGTGGTTCGAGTAGAACAAGCTAACTAGACAAAATTATTTTTTAATTAAGTATCTCCATAATTATTCGAATTTTTAACTTATCCATGACGAGGTAAAATGTTTGAATGCATTGAAAACAAAAACTAACTATTAAACAAATGACGATTTTAGTAAAGAGAAATTCCATGTTTTGAAAATAAAATTAATTTGAAATTAGATTTATAATAAGTCAATAAGAAAATATTTTGATTTGTAATGGCCAGTATCACAGAACAGAAATTTCATTGGTAAAGACCTATTATTAGCAATTAATTTTGAGTTCTACTAGCAATGTTTTATTTAAGGTATAAATACATGTTGCGAAATTTGTCAATTTTGTGTAGCCGAATGTGTTGTTGACTATTTACATATAATAACTATTCATTTAGCTGGCTCAACTTGTAGTCAACACTGGTGGTTGTGGTCCATTAGTGGAGTTGTTGGCAGAGTCTACAGGTGGGGCTCGCGTGCCCGCATGTATGGCACTCGGCTTCATCGCGGGCCAATCGGATCAACTTGCAATGGCTGTCATTGAAGCAAAGGTTACCACATTAGAGCAAATGTCTTAAGTATGTTATACTATAAGGAAATAGTAATTGAGCATATGACACAATGTCCTGTAGGGATTCTAACCCGGTAAGCTTTAAGAGAATTTATGTTATATATAACTTATTCTATTAAACAGGCTCAAGAATCGCAACTAATGTTGAGCTTTTTTTAATGATGCAGGCAATCCCACCCCTGGTAGAAATTTTGCAGAACTTGGACGCTGAGGATGCAGAGATTTGTGCCACAGCATGGACACTTGGTCACATTGCCAAGCACTCACCACAGCATAGTCTTGCGATTGCTGTTGCCAATGCTCTACCTAGACTATTGCAGGTTCAACAAATTATAAAACATATTGTTTACCATATAAGGTTGGACGAAGTTATTAAATAAATATAAGTTTTTTGTTTTCAGTTATATACAGATCCAAAATCATCAGGAGAAGTGCGTGCTCGAACTTCATGTGCCCTGAAGCAGGCTCTTCAATGTTGCCTGCATAGGCCAGCACTAGAGCCATTGTTGCATGCGGCACCTGCTTGTATTCTCAAATATGTGCTTGCGCAATATGCTAAGGTGCAAATATTGATGTTTATTATCTTTTTAATGACAAATGTGTAAAATATCCACCAGTCCCAGGAACCCTGAGATGGAACTTGAAATAACTTTTGCTATGATTTAGAACATTTTCATCAATGTTCAAGCAATCCAGCCTGGGACTGGTCATTTATTTTGGCATTTTTATAAAAAATATATTTATCAATACTATTTACTTACTTCAGGCCAATGTCACCTCAGGTTGGTTAATTTCTAGCTGAGACTCAATACTCAAACTAACAATAAATGTTATAAATTTTTGATATTTATCAGAGAACCCTGCTTTTTACTAATACAGCATTGAAAGATACAAGTGATATAAAGTTGATCTAATAATACTTATTATTATACAAAACAATTAATTTTACATTATTTACAAATTTATAATTTACAATTTAATAAACAGGCCCATCATCGAGATTGTCATCATCTTCATCATATTCTTCACCATTGTCAAAATAGTTGTTAGCATAATCAGTTCCATCATCAATCTCTTCATCCTGTTCTTCTTCATCTTCGATTTCTTCATCGTCATTTGTTTCTCCCTTTGGCTTTGAGTTATCTTTTTCATTATTTTCTGTGGTTTCTTCAGATTCTTCTTGTGACTCTTTTTTCTCAAGTGTCAGTAACCTCTTTGCAATCTCGTTTGGATCATCCAGTTTTCTTTTTCGTGATGTTCGTATTCGACCTGTCTGCGGTCTAAGCTCTGTAGGTATGTTCGCCCATACACAATTTAAAGTTTTACCTTGCTTTGCATCAAGCGCCAAAAGTTTATATTTGTCAGAGTACCTTTCCACGCCGTCAGTCAGGATTTTGGGCTTGACGTATGCTGGTGAATCGTGTAAATACTCAATAAACTGGTCTTTCACGATTAGCATATAATCTGTAGCCGCGTCGCTAACTAATGGCAACGGTTTCTTTTCTAATTTAGGGAATAATGGTGGCGGAGCAACCGCAACTGGAGTGTTGTCTCCACGAGCGATACCTAATGCTTGTAATTGGTCGTGAGTTAGCGATAGGCCGGCACCACGTCCTCGGCCTCTTCCTGCCATTACCAGCTGTTGTATATTTGTTAAATCAAATTTTTTCTCCGTTCCACTATATTCTTTTGATAACCAAAACCAATGTTTGTTATTGTGTCACTGTCAAAATGACAATACTAAATGTAAAAAAACTTAACTGATTCATTGAAGGCAAAGGAAGCTATTCGATACAGCCTAGTCTTTGGTAAAATCAATGTAATATTTCTTCTATTTTGGTCATTAGGAAAGATTGGTGTTCGACGTTAGGTTTAGGAAGACAGCAGTCCATAATGATAAATTTATAGAACGCTCTCTGTAAAAAAAAATAGTGTATATTTATTACCTTATAATAGGTAATATTCGTTGAATCCTCTCATCTCACAACACTAAACATGCTAAAACTCGAAACCTTATAGTCTCTAATATTAATAAACAATAATAGTATTACTCTAACATTCATACATGAGGAGCAATGAGGAGCTAGTAAGATTACGAAATTAGTATTCCCGCCATTCCACGATGACTTACTATTTTGAAATTTCCATTTCAGATTTTACCTAATGATGCTAGAGCTCGAAGACTTTTTGTCACGACTGGTGCATTGAAAAGAATCCAAGAAATAGATACCGTTCCCGGAACTTCTCTTAAAGAATATATTAACATTATTAATAGCTGTTTCCCAGAAGAAATTGTAAGGTAAATCAAATTTTCATTTATGTTCATCGTCTCGTAGGATTCTGCGTTATCAATAACCCAGTTAAAAATTTATTAACGTCAATTTATAAACTTGCATTGGATTTTTTATATTGACGTCATAAAATATATAACATAGGATTTAATGCCGGAATTCAAACAGTAAGTGAAAAGCCGCGCATCCAGTGCAGTGAAAGTGTGCCTTTAGTCTCATCCATGTTGGTGAATTGAAGGGGTAGAATAGGTAGCGAAATTTTTCTTTTATATACATAAATAACTTTGGGGTGAACACTTATTGACTGGCCCGCAGGCCCAAAACGCAACAGAGCAATAGAGCCAATCCTTGCGAGGACCAACCTTACGATAAAATGTATAGCGAGTCTTGTTTCAATAATCATAAGGTGTAAAATACAACCCATTATTGTCCGTGTTGAGTTAGTCGCATGGATATTGATGGATTGCCTGATAGTTAAATCATTCTTATTGGTAGGTATTTACAATGTTTAGAACTTTTAGCCTTCTGTACAGTTTTGTAAAACGCTTTGAGGGCATATGATGTCACATCGATTAGCTTGCAGCTCAGATGAATTATCATAAGGGTGAAGGGAGCTTTAAGAATGAGGAAGTATTAAAAAAAAGAAAGCACTAAAAAGCCCCTCACTAGATAGCGACTCTAGCAAAAGGAGATTTTTGCAGGAAACTAATGGACCAAAGATAGTCATTTCAGTTCTTTTTAACTAACATATAAAAAAACTGAAATTTGCAAAGTTCGAAACTTAGATATCAATATAAATACGAAGAAGTACAAATAGAATAAGAGTTGTTTATTGCGTTTTGAAAAGTAATTTACTTTTAATTTAAAGAAACCTGGATGGGTTGTTATGGAAAAATCAAGAAAATGTTATAGCGACATCTAGTTTGATTCCGGCAACTAATTGTTTTTTTCGTTGGTTCATTAGCGAAGCTTATTCGATGGCGTTCATTGCACTCTGTTCGCTCGTTCTGTAACGAAAGCCTATGCTGCGTTCTATTATCTATTTTTAGAAAACTACCAAATAGGGTACTTACGGCAGTGAAAAATAAGTCACGAAATTGCACAAAAACTAAAATTTACATCTTACTTAATAGAGATTCCGATTTAAGTCTTAAAATAGTGGTACGATTGTTTTATTGTGATCTTTTAGTCTTCCTAGTACTAGATGTACCTAGTACTTTTGTTTCAAACGCCAGTTTAATTTAGTTTGCTTCATTTCAGATTTTACACTCCAGGTTATTCAGATTCTTTGCTCGATAGGGTGGAAGCATATACGCCACAGGTAACTTATTTAACATTTGCTTATTCCTAAGGGGTCATCCATAAATACGTCACACGATTTTCATGACTTTTTGCTCCTAGCGTGATGTCACATATTTTGCAAGGCTTTAGAAAGAAATAGTTTAAAGTTAGTGTTTGATTTTGAAATGTGACGTCACGAAACTTAAGACCCTCCCACCCCCTTGTCACACTTTGTCGAGCCCCTCCCTCCCCCTTAACGTGTGATGGCCCCTAATACTCATGTTACATTCTTATGCTTATGAGTGTAGCACTTATTGTTCAGTAAATATAAACGCAGATAATGGTAGTAGTATAAACTACTTTTAAGACTGTTTTTAAAATGGGATTAATTCGGAACCCTTCATAAAAATAGCTCCACTGTTGTGTAGTAGTAATTATTCGTCTTTAGGGAATATTTAAATACATGTAAACATATTTCTATTTACAGATACCAGAATTATTTACAGACAGAGTACCTAGTGATTGTCAAAGTGAGCTAACCATTGAAAATGGAAATTAAAAAAAAAATAAACAATTTTTAGATAAATCTTAATTTTTATTATGGGAAATAAATATTTTTACGTTCATCAAAACTTTATTGTTTTCCAAGAGTCCACGCAATTTTTTGAACACGGTCAGCCCGTCCGCCGATATTTGATATTTCGATTACCATCGACTGTCCATATACTCGGTAACTAAAAAAAATTGAGAGTACATAAATTTTTATTATATTTGGTAAACACTTTAATATACACATTATAATTGTAGTGGTATTGACTATACCTGAATTCAGAACTCAAAAAATTCAAGACATACACTCCTTGAACGTCAATTTCAAAGAATTTTTGAATTTCGTTGTTAAAATGATTGATATCATGGGTGGTAAGATGATTTTCCAAGTTTCTTAACATATTTGTGGTTAAACCCTGTAAGCAAATACGAGTGTAATTAAATAGTTAAATAAAAGAAATATGAAGTCAAAATTCTCAAAATGCAATGACCTTTCCTAATTTCGTTTATCATGAAAAGATTTTAATTTTCGGCATATTTGGGAAAACATAAGTGGGCGCTCACCTGAATTTTACATGTTGTACCATTCGGAGATTCCAATTCTGTTACAGTTAAGTAATGCATGATGACCAAGTGCAATGTTTATTAAAAATGACATGGTTTGACTAGGTATCTGTATTTGAATTGCTGGTCATAGGAAATGTGTGGTTTGTGGTCAAAGTTATCTAGTTAATTGTAAATTATTATTTACAATGAACTAAATAATTAAATAGGAATTCAAAGCGTTTCTATTAATCTGTAACAAAAATTAATGATTTTAGAATCTACTATACTTCATTGCCGTAATTTAAAACGAAAATAAATTATTTTCAGAGTAAAGTGTTCTTCAAATATTTTCTAGATATATGCTTGTCGTTATGATTCATCACATAAATATTGATGCAAGTATGAGATTCGTTTATTTTCAATTGTGAATGTTTAAATTTTGGTGAGAAACATACATTACCTTCTTTGCTTTCACTTTTTTTATTATTGCCAAGCAGTTCTCGAGGAGTTATCAATATTTTTATCTGATGACATCACTGTAACAATAATAACACAACACCATTTTTAATATAAAAGAAATGACAATACAATATAAGTCTCGGTTAAGTCTTATCAGATGTTACCATACCATAATTTTCTCCATGGTTTTGTGAGCCAGGGATAACTAAGCAAATCATCATTTATGAAATTGTACAATAAAACGATATTCTTTAGAAGCGGTTCTTAAGTTTTTTTCTCAGGTACAAAAGTGGACCGCCCGCTTGGTCTAGTTTGCCACATGTGAGCATGATATATAAGCAGACATCAAACTTGGCTAATGTTTTAGTTCTGGTTTGCACATACAAAATTGGAAACTATTCTGTATTTAAATGTTAATTATGTATTATTTTCATTGACCTAATTAACTTACCCGATTATGGTCTAAGAATACGGTAGTCGTAACATCGACAAGTGTGCTTCAAGTGGATGCTTGGTTATGCGGCATAATGCTGGAATAAAATTAATAAATAAGAACAAAGAATTGTCAAGCAATAAATCCAATTTAGGCATGACAAATTTCAGTTGTTACCATACCATATTTTCCCCACGGTTATGTGAGACAGGGATAACTATATTTTTCATCATTTAGCAAGCATTCTAGTAAAAATGAATTTTGTGGCTGTTATATGGAGGGTTTACGGGTAAAATGTATCAAGGGTGTTTCAAGGTCTAAAATTCCAGTGAAAGCAAAAAATATTAATGTCAGATAAAATAGGTTTATCTTAACGAAATATTTTTTCTGTATGTAGTCCACTTTCTGTTGAAAAATTTAGTGTCTCGTCAATCAAGGCAGATTAAAATTAAAGTGACTGAAATTTACTGTAGTTCGAAGGGCCTTAAAGTGCTTAGGAACCAATTGTTTAATTTTGTAATCTATTGCAATCCCTTTCAATTTGGCATTTGAAAGATATTCACGAACTTCAGGCTACAACTACTTGACATGTGATAGCAATTCTGATTGAGACTTTAATATTAGTTTGAATTGTCAAACAGTTGCTCTAATGTCCATAAAAATTATCATTAGTTAAAAGCGACATTAGTAATACAAATTTGACACTCATTAGAGCTTAAAGGCGTTGTTAAACCTTAATAGACGTTTGAGCAACCTTGCAACCTAAAATACATTGTGAATATACTTACTTCAAATCTACTCAGTCATGAGTGGCTTCTTTTGTTTTGTGTTTGTTGACCTGCAAGCAATATTATCCACATTATCTTCTTAAACTGTTCCCACTGTTGACCAGTAGTAACTTTTTGTTAAATCAGCAGTTGTTTTTTATCATCAAAATTATGATTATGATATATGCTTGTAAATAGACATCATTATAGAATTACAAATTGAGTGTTGTGACTTTAGGACGCTAACTTCAACCAACTGAAATTTATAAGTATAATATGTTCTTCCTTGGATCTAAACGTAATTTTTTTTTTTTAATTAAACCAATTTTTATCGTAGTTATGTAAAAGGCGATAACAATATAGGGTGTTAGAAAGCTACTAATGCAATACAAACCTCCATTCACATGTCTTACGTCGCATAAATAGCCGGTGGTGTTCTTCATCTAAAAGAAAAATCTCGATCAGTCAAAGCCTTGTTTCTAAAAATGTTGTAATTTTAATATAAAATATAGTCAGTGTTTATCAATCAACAGGTATTCAGATAGGGGCGATACTATTATTCATCATTTAATAACATAACTAGTTATGACTTTGTATGCGTGACATTAAATTAGTATTGCAATCTTAAAGTAACTGTTTAAAAGGAGGAGAGTATATTAAGAAATCTAGTTTAGGAAAATTTTAACTAGAAAAGTGACCTATTATATTTGAAGAGATAAAGATCGGAATCTATCAATTAACAGGTATTCGGATTGAGGCGATACTATTATTTATCACAAACAACTAAATATTTAAAATGATACATACCTCCAATGAAATATATTCATAGTAAAGCAGCATGGTAAGTTATAGGCGACATCTGTAATTAAAAGTTGCCTTGTAACAATATGTCGTACTTTTAGAGTAAGCAATATTGAATTATAAACTGTCAGTGTCTATCAATCAACAGGTATTCAGATAGGGGCGATACTATTGTTCATCATAAAAATATATGTACTAGCTTTCCCCCAGCGGCTTCGCCTGCGCGGGAGGGATCTGTTCATTTGAATATCGATTCATATTATGACACGGGGATATAATTACAATGACAAATTGAATAATGGTTACTATGGCAACGTTTTAATTCTCTATACAAACTTGCACTCCAATTTTCATCAATTTATTTATTGTTTTTCGGGATAAAATATATAGCATATGTTTACTGGATATGATTTAGCGTCCCGTAGATGAAGTATTTTTTAAAATCGGTACAGTAGTTTCAAACACTTAAATCGAATATATCTTTATAATATTAGTGAAGATTACAAAATATATAAAATGATACACACCTCCATTAAAATGTAATTGTACTAAAGCAGCATGGTCAACTTATACTCGACATCTGAAATTATTGGTAATCTTGTTAAACAATGTCTTAGTTTTAGTTAAAACAATATTGAATTATCAACTGTCAGAATCTATCAATCAACAGGTATTCAGATAGGGGCGATACTATTGTTCATCATAAATATATGTAGTTTTCATTTTCATGTAGCAATTTACCGATTTTTTTTTTAAACTTCTGTGACAAAGTGATACTTAATTAACTAACACTTTGGCAGTTACTATAAAAAAAAAATCTAAAATTTTCATCTCATGTCAGTGTGCTGTGGTAGATTTCCACATTTCGTAAGCTTTAGTTAGTTAACATGTGTTAGGTTACTATAAGTTTATTGATCTATTACTTACATTACTGTGTAGGTAAATAATTCTTTAAGTAAATCTGAAACAATTGAAAAATAGGAGTCAATATTGTGGAAATTGGTTAGGCAGTACAATTAAATCGAATAATGAATCAGTTGTTACCATACCATATTTATCCCCATGGTTTTGTGAGACAGGGATAACTAAGATAATCATCATAATATTTCTAGTGTAGAGTGAAATTTTCGTAGATTTTTTAATAAAATTATTAGAATTATAACTAACCTTCTTTATCTCAAAAATATTTTTTGAGAAATTCCCCTACTTGAATTGCAGGTTGTGTTACAGACGTGATATCTGAAAATAAAGTTTATTTTAGTTAATGTAATCTTTGAGGATACCCAAACCTTTGATTTGGTAATATTATCAGTAATCATTAATCTTCAACAAGATTGTTTATGATATATGCTTGTAAATAGCATCATTTAATTGAGATAACCTAACAGCTGGTTGCACAAACATCCATTACATTAGTTTAATGCCAAATTACCAATAAAATTTTCAAATTTAGAACATTCATTAGAACTTAGTTATCATTAAACCTTACATTTGTGCACTACTGTCGCTGTTCATTTAGACAATTTTAGGATATTTATAACTTCTCAGTTTGGTTTTAGAATCAATTTTATTTAGAAATATGTAACCAAGTAAAGACATACCTCTAATGAAATCAAAGGTGTCATCACTGATGATATCTGTAAAAGTGCATTATTTGGCATTTTAATTGTAATTTAGTGGATATTAAATAAAAGGAAATAACAATGTTTCAATCAGAAACTATCAATCAACACGTTTTCAGATAGGGGCGATACTTTATAACATCACATAAATAGTAAAAATTAAGACAACTGTTTTAAAATTAAGTAGCAATATTTGAGGGAGCATACATAAATTGCATTAAATAAAATTAATCAATCATAAAGGTTACCCACCTTCATTCAAGGTTGAAAATCCCAGTGCAATATTATCTTGAAGCTGAATGCAATGGCCCACCTGAAAACAAGAACCCTTAAAAAATAAAGAAAATAAAAACCCTATAATGTCATAAATTGTATAAAAGATCAGTAAAGATCAATCATCATGTTTCAGATAGGGGCGATACAAATAGTCATCATGATAGCTTTCATTGAAAAGATCATACAAAAAAATAATATAAATTAATTACCTTCTAAACAGTTATATGTGCATTCCTACAGCTTTCAGTATCTGAAAATAATAGAAATATTTATTATACTGTTTTAAACAGAGCATTTTAAATAGATTGATTAGTTTTTAGACTTTAACAAGGGCTCATTAGCTTAGTTCGAATATGGAATATTGATTCAGCCAATATAAGGATGAGCAACTCGACGGCGCAGCGGTAAGTGCACTTGATGTGCAATATGGCTGTTAAGCAACTTTCTCAATGTAACAAAAAATGAACTATCTCAAACTCCTCCTTGTTTCAGAAGGCATGGGTGCACACCCACCATTCCACACTGAGTCAGTCATGGCCCATTCTCCATATTCGTTTCCATGGGGTAGGCCTGATAACCAGCTGTGGCGATATTAGTAAGCTGGTAGTGACGATGATGATGGATATGGATGCCGAAAAAACCAAGTAACTTGTAACACTCTAACCCTTGGAAAAGTATTTATGTTAAAAACTTTTCCTACACAGAGTGTGTTAATGTTCCTATCCAGAGTCAAGCATGCCAGTAATATCTGTGCACACATCGGCTTTGGTAGGGTATAGGTGTTGTAATACGAAGTGTGGCATGTTGATGATGGCATAAAGAGTAGAATGGAGATTTTTATTGTAATATATTTGTTTTAGTAATTAAATTTAAAACTGCTTTAATAATTTTACACTACGTAATTACTTGGCACAATAAACTACACATTTATATAGGGATATAATTTGTTACTCAAAAATAAATGTCAAAATGATTTCTCACCTGTTCATTCACTTATTTGATGACAGACTTGACAGCTGTAAAAGAAAAGGTACCCAAGTTAAATGGTGGCAGAAAGAAAACATATCAAATAAAATAAAAAAAATTTGTTACTGATAATTATTACTAATGATCTTATTATTTTATAGTGTTTACAAATATAGTATTTTAAAATGTAACACCATTAACCCTTGGAAGTTTTGTTATAAAAACAGACTTCCTACACATAATGTGATAATGTTCCTATCCAGAGTCAAGCATGGCAGTGGTTATCTGCACACACATCGGCTTTGGTAGGGTATAAAAACACAATTTAAAAATACAAACAACTTACCATTAAATCCTTTTCTCTCATTTCTAGCATCTTGATAAATTATGAGAAGTGACAAAGATCATCTAAAACAGAAAACATATATTAAATAATTAAACTGTATATTATTATAAAACAAAAACTTGTATTAACAAATATATCAGTGATTTGATAAGTGTGAAATCAAAGTAATTTCAGCCGAACGAGACTATAAAATGCAATTCATCATTTAAAATTTATTACAGAAGAAATTGAAGCTAGGAATAGGGCATGTAATATCGTAAGGTTTTCAATAGGCTTGTGTCCTACAAGTGAAAATACAGGTTTTTGTTATATCTTCGAAAAATATGAACCATTTTAACTTATAATTGTTTAACAAAACAAATTTTAAGTCACTGATTTGGAAAATTTTACGCTTTGAAAACTTGAAAAAAGTTGAAAAAATCTACTACAAAAATTTGCTAAAATACATTAGGCATTAAATTAGATATAAAAAATGTTACAATTTTCATTATAACAACTATAAACATAAACGCACAAATAATAAAGATATTACAAAAAATGTCCAGACGCCCATACATTTTTCGCTACAGTACCACCATGTGACGTCACTTAGTGCCTTGAATTTGTAGGTAGCGTTTTCGACCAACTAGCAGCAGTTCTACAAACACAGCACCGTATCTCCGAAACTATTAATCGCAGACATGCTGTTACTTCGACATTATTTCTCAGATATTAATGCACTATTTATCTATGAAATAAAAAAAAAGTTGTCAACTAGCCTATTCTGATACTGATTTCAGATATTAGAAACTAATATCGGAATGCCAACATTAATATCAGAATTATTGATATTGCCAATATCTTTATCGATTGATTGCACATATTCATCAGAAGGTTGAGTTCAGAACAATAAAATAAAGTATTATTATGCATTATCATCATTTAATCATCATCAATAGGGTATTCTACTGTTTGAAACAATACTTCCAACAGATCATTTTAATTTAAAAAGTGATAAAAAAAATATTTCAGTAAAATAAACACGTATTTCTTGCCTTAAAATTAAATCAAAATGTTTAACTTTTTTATACCCGCGAGAACGCTGTCCCGATTATTCATGACGTCACTGTGATATGTATACAAAACAGATGCACAGAGTAGAATATTAAAAGATGTCAATAAAACAAAATTATGAAATAAAAAGATATAAATAAGCTAAGAGAATTTATAATGAATAGGAATATCTTTATGACTACTCTGGAGTCACACAACGGAGACGTGTTTCAAGTCACGTGACGTACAGACAAAAATGACGACTTTTAATTTTAAGGTAATAATAAAATCGTGCGATTTTTAGACTCAAAAACAACTATGAAAATTTTAGTTTTTGTTTAATTTCGGTAATTATTTTTCACTTCCCAAACTACCCTATTCAGTCAGTCTTTAATTTAGTACAAATGTTTTTTAAGTAATATTCAATAACATTGCTCGTTTTTAAATTGTTCGTAATTGTTTGAATCACATATTTATCATTATCTAATATTTAATTATTTTGAAATTACCTAGATCAATATAAACACTTCTAAAACATCTTATGATCACATAACTTCTTTGAATTATATTGATTTTTTATATTTTCATGAGCACTATCCATAAATGAAACAACTTTTAAACAGTTTCATCATGTTTTCTCTGTGTTCACATAACCTGTAAAGGGTCTGAAATATCAATAAAACTAAATACAAATGTGATGAAACCCATGTCAAAAATATTTCATTACTTATAATGATTTTAAATTTCAAATAAAATCAATGTTTAAGAACAACATTATTAGAAATATTGACGAGGTATAAAACATTGTATTTAAAATGTCAAGCAATATCAACAATTATTATTAAAAAATTACAAATACGACAAGACACAATACTTTTGTTGCTTAGAGACCTTTTGAGAATTGTCATGATTTATCTTTTTGTAGCATAAAATAGCAAATAGTTTCATTTCGACATTACAGTATCTCGACTCAGTACTGGAATTGTAATATCTGAACTTTCATTCCAAGAATCCAAGATTCTGATATTCATGCCCTAGTTAAAAATGTACAAAATTAAATTATTTACAGAAAAATGCTTACTAACCTGTTAATTTTTCAGTGTGCCAGTTATTGTGTTTTCCTGTAGACAAAAATTAATCTAATATACTAATGTTTTTTTTAATAATACTGAAAAGTGGATAAAGAACTTTAATCAGTGTAATGGTATATGTGAAATCAATAAAATTCATACGAACGAGACTAAGTAAAATTCATCATTGAATGACTATTAATGTTAATCACTTATAATTTTAATAATTAAGAACCTTACCTTAGTATTTCTACACCAATCATATATATTATCTGAAACAGAAAGAACATTGAGTAAAGAAAACACAATATAAATCCAAGATTAATATCGTAACTCACCTATGTCCATATTTTTATGGATAGAAGAATAATTAACAAGAACACAAAAATAGCTAAAAGTAATCTTTTATTTATATGTCCTTAGATACTAGCACTGTAACTTGCAGACACAAATAAATTACTTCTTAGCTGGCTTTTTGGAGACGGCTTTTTTCGTGCGTGGCTTCTTGACGGCGGTTTTAGGGATCTTCTTCTTGCCAAATGTGCCGGCACGTGCCGCCTTCACTTTCATGCTCTTGAATACCGCCGTCCTAGCACGGTTTCTCTTGACTCTGGCTGCTGTTAGCTTGAATCTGTCGTAGTCTGTCATCTGTGCGCGCTTTTCTTTGTTAGCGAGTTTCTGTGCCCATTGACTCTCAGTCCATTTTTCATTAAGTTTAGCATCTGTCCATGCCTTCCTTACAACACGTGTAGGTGCTGTGAATGGATAGTTTAGACGGAACTTGGTAAGATGTAGTTGGTTTAGACGTATTTGTTGTCTAGCAACGCCGCTGCCGGGTCCATCAACTAGTGCGCGAGTCTGATCAATGACATCGACAACACTCACTAACTTTCCCTTCAAAGGGCCTTCGGCTACTAGGGCAACGCGCCCAGGTTCTACAAATCTTGCAAACGGCATGACGTTCTGAAATAAAAATGTACTTACTTTAGACAAAATTACAAGTAAACACTAATAACACATGCCCTATTAACGCTTAAAATTAATGAAATAATCGAGTAAACAACACGGGACACTGACTAACAACGAAGTCCAAAGATCGAGAGATACTTGGACAAGGAACGAAAATAAACTAATTTCGAGTGATTTCACATGGTTATTAAAAAACAGAACTGTTGAATCTTAGTAAATATATAAGTAATAGTAAGATTGAAAAAGATTAAAATAATCTAACCTCACAACGTCTCTTCTATGACAACAAGACGCAAGGAAAGATTTTTTTACGTTTGTCATTTTTTGACATGACAGTAGTAGTAGGGAGATCCGAATTTGATACGATTTCATCGAAACTCGATTTTTATGTACTCGATGTGTAATTTTGGAATCGATATTTTGCTATTCAGATTGATCTCAAGATCTTTGCAAAACGAATAGCAGCCATATTTGCTATCTCAAATGACACTCTAGAGTCGTAATCATCAAATAAAGTGTGCAAGTCCAGAGTGTCAAAATCATTAACTCGTATTTTCTAGGTATCATTGGTTTGCAATTTAGAATGAATGTCAATTTCGGGTATCTTAATAAAGTCCATTTTGACAATAAGCGATAATAAAGTTGAGTAGCTCGGTGGCGTAGTGGATAAGCGCCGCAGCCCACGATCGTAGTCGTTAAGGTGATGATGATGATGATGATAATAAAAGTTACAGAATACTAAAATATTTTCTTACGCAGAATGAATGCCTTTTGGTTATTAATTTCTTTCTTCGCTCAATAATAATTTTTAATTAAATTACAATAATTTTTTGATTTTACCCTCTTCGCCTCACTTTACATACCGATTATTACATTATATAAGATAACGTTAAATAGGCAATATTTGCGAAGAAATTCTAAACTAAACTAAACTGAATCATTCTATCAAATTCTTAAAACCGACCCAATCCCTCGATCAATCGTTAACATGTTAATGAGGAAGCATTTTAAGAAAAAAAAAAGCTCTAAAAAAGCACCTCACTAGATGGCGACTCTAGCAAAAGTTGATTTTTGCAGGAAACGAATGAACAAAATATAGTCATTTCCGTTCCCTTTAACTAACATATTAAAAAACTGAAATTTGAAAAGTTCGAAACTTAGATATAAATACAAATATAATATGAGTTGTTTATTGAGTTTTGAAAATTAATTTATTTTTACACATGAAAGAAAACCGGTAGTGTTGTCATGGAGAAATCAAGGAAGTAGAGATATATGGTTTGATTTCGGGAACTAATGTTTTAATTTTCAATACTTCCTCATTGTGAACTGTAATTGGCGTTAATTTTTAATAAATGCATCTTTTATTTGTAGATTAAATTAGAGAACAACGGTTACGACAATTATAATATAATTATCCCTTGAGATAATTCCATAATACTCCAATAATTTAGATTTTAAGTTTTTATACGCCATTGGGGGAACGGATTGATTTAAGATTTTTACTTCATCGATTTTTTCCGAATCGATCTTAAAAGTTCCACAACATTTGTCTTTTGCTATGGATTGGAAACCCTAAGGGACTGTACGCATCGCGATTTTATTTCGCGCCAATTTTTATTATCGCAATGAGGAGTATTTAAAAAAACTACAGAAACTACAAAACTTTATCTCACCAGACAGCAGCACTAATAAGGAAGTATTTAAAAAATAAAAATTAGTTCTTGAAATCATACTTGATGTCACTCGCGATGTTTGGATTTTGTTTATGATATTCATTCAAATTTTGTTACTGACGTAATAAAAGTAAATTGAGTATCGAAAATTAATAAATATGACATCGTTTTGTGTTTCTTATAATATCTAATTTTACGAACGATGTTTGGTTTATACGTCAACATTAGTGATGAGCCAATTATTGGTTGCTCGGTACTTTCGTCCGAATTCAGGTTTGTCAATGTCAATTCATGACGTTAGACCAAAGAGAATAGAATTGTCAGTGTTGTATGGATCTGATTACTCGGATTATTGTCGAGTTGAAATAAAATTAGTCCGAGTTACGCAAACGCAACTCGATTAATACGAACGAAAGCACAGAGAAAGTTTTTTTAAAAGTTGTGGAAATCAATAGAAATTATGAAAGTGGTATTTAGCTACGGTATACAATAATATTAGCGTGAAAATATAATTCGACGTTTGGACGCATAATGGGAATATGGAAATTCTGCACATAAAAAACAAGCTGAATTCTGGGCTCTGCTTTTTATTCTTGATTAAAAACCTGAATTCGGATGAATCGAGTCAATTAAAGTTACTAGCAACCAATTAGTTAGCTCATCACTAATGTTAACATATAAACCAAACATCGTACCTTTAGACGTAACATAATTAATAACTTTCGATTCAAATAAATTAAAATTAATTTGAAAGTTAGATATTATAAGAAACACGAAACGATGTCATATTAATTAATTTTCGATACTCAATTTAGTATTATTACGTCAGAAAGAAAATTTGAATGAATATCAAAGACAATTATCCGAAAATCGCTAGTGACATCTAGTTTGATTTCAAGAACTAATTTTTATTTTTCAAATACTTTCTTATTCTGTAACACATTGAATCATATGTTAATATATGCACTTGCAGAAAAGAAAAATAGCGCGGAAAGAAATGCGATTACTAAACTACAGATTTTCGCGATTGCTCTGTCGTGCATCAGCAGTAGCGGTGGAAGTATGTTAAGTGGTTCATCGCCCGTCTACTCGGCAGCCGCCGAAAAAGACGAAATTGATATTGAAATGTTTATAATGTTAATTCAAAATAGGCCTCCCTTATGGGACAAATTTCAATAACACTACAATGATAGGCAATTGAAAACTAGGTTAGGAAGAAATATACATTGAATTGAATCAAACAAATTAAAATTGCTCTCTTATTTTTAAGATTCCGTACCCAAAAGGCATAACGGGAACTTACTCTATTTCTAAGGTTTCGCTGTATTTCTATTTGCCTGTCTGTCAAAGGGCTGTATCTCATGAACCGTGAAAGTTAGATAGTTGAAATTTTCAGAAACCAGAATAAATAACTATTTTAGAAACATTATATTTTTGTTCGTTTCCGGTATGGAATCTTACGTGCGCGAGTCCAACTCGCACTTGTCCGGTTTTAAGACGATTTCCTCGACCGGGAGGTACACAAAACTTACAAAAATTGCACGGATATTTAATCACAATGCGGATAAAGTATTATGTAATTGCGAAATAAAATGCGCGCGAATAACAGTCAGTCTCTAAATGTAGTCCACATGGTTGACAGCAAGCTCCAGTATTTTGTAACTCTAGGAATCTCTGAGGGCAACCGAAATAAGTTGTTTATAGAGTTCTGTGGGTAACCGGTATTCACGATTTTGGTATTTTGTAACTTATTTTTAATAAATTAGTAATCTATAGCCAGATTATATATAGGTATATTTAATTTAGATGAAATTACTCATTGAAGTTTACTTTCATGGTCACTAATACTTAGGGAATACGAAATAATATTAAAATGAGATTTCTCCGAATCATTGATAGAAAATACGAATAAGCGATTTTGATACATAGAAATTGCTCATTTTTATGGTACAAATCACTACTACAAATTTCAAAGCAACTTTCACATCTGGGTTACGAAATAATTCCTGTTACATGAAAACAAGTTATTTGATGTTATAATTGGTATTTTTACGATTCAGATATATCGATATTGCTATTACTTCGATTATGTATCATCATATCTCATATTATAATAGTTGCATCCCCACAAATTATACCCATCTGTCAGTTAGCTGTCAATGTTACTTTGACTGACGTTTTATCTAGAGATGTGACAACTCATAATAACGCAATTCGGGTAACTCGATATATAATTCCCCTAAATAGAGTTGAACTCGAGATACACAACTTGATTAACAAAATAAAACTGAGTAAGTTATTTTTTTACTGACTAATTACCAAAATTTTGTGTAATCTTCTTCGACCTGATCACGCGAGAAATTAAAGTTTGCATTTATCTTTTATTTATGGAATGGGGAAATTTATGGAATCGAATGAGGCAGTATTTAAAAAAAAAATTAGTTCCCGAAATTAAACTAGATGTCGCTACGGTACATTCTTGATTTCTCCATGACAACCCTTCCGGTTTTCTTTCATATATAAAAGTAAATTAGTTTTCAAAACTCAATAAACAACTCATATTCTTTTTGTACTTTTTCGTATTTGTATCGATATCTAACTTTCAAACTTTGCAAATTTCAGTTTTTTAATGTTAGTTAAAAGAAACGGAAATGACTGTTTTTGGTCCATTCCTTTCCTGCAAAAATTAACTTTTGCTAGAGTCGCCATATAGTGTAGGTGCTTTTTAGTGCTTTTTTTTTTTTAAATACTTTCTCATTGAAAATAACGTCTGGTTTCTTAAAGTGGACGTATTCCCAATATATTTTTAGGACTGTGTACATTATTTACACTTATTAAGTCCACTTCTTAAAAATCGGATTTTCTTTTAAATTACGGCTTTTTTTTTAAACAATTAGCAATAATAGCACTCCAAGCACAAATAAAGAGCCTCAGACATTTGCCAGCAATATTGTAATATTTGTGAATGCGAATACCACTGAATGCTGAGCAGACTTCTGGCCATGTCAATGTCATTCGTTTTGTGAACTATGGTTGGCGGGCGGGAGTATTCAAACTTGAGTTAAGGAAAATTCAACTCGAGTTAACACGAGTTGAGACATCACTAGTGTGATCAGATTTTTTTGCGCCAATATAGGTTATTTAGGACAAAGAGTAGTATTATATTAGAGGATGATTTAGGATTGTCGTTCTTCTAAAGCGACTGGATTTGATATTGTGATTTAAATACTTATTTATCAATAACATTGAATAGTATAATGTTTTTATTAATAGATAATAGAATTGCTACTATTCTTATTTTTACTATGCTACTACGAGTTGCTAGGTTGCCTAGGTTGCTAGGAAACATAAAGCCAAAACTTTGTCAAATTTGTTGAGTTTCTCTGATTCAAAGTGTTTTTTGTTAAAATGCGTCTCAGATATTCTAAAACTATAATGGAAGCACAGGTTTTAATAGCATTTATAACATTTTTATGATTTTGGAGTATTTATTATTTAGTATAGTTAAGTTTGTAGAGACGACTCTATGATGGTGATACTTTGCCCCTAATCGTATTTCATCATGTAGCAGTACCGTCGTAATTATTTTCTTATTGTTCCTACTAACATGATTGAT